CTGTATGTGAGAGTTAAAAAACAAAGCAAAAACACCTGGGCTTTAGAACGGGCAGGCATATCATTAATCGCTTCGCCATTCACCGCCACCCTGCAGAGGTGCTCGTTCAACACCAATGCGTGGTGCTAAAAACCCGGGTCCCATAAACGCGGGAAACAATGTTGCGTCAGTCGCTTTTCGTTTTTAGAATGCACGTCTGCAGATTACTTGCGGATATCTGCGGTCAATTGATGGATGATGATGACAGATGACGATTACAGATGATGACAAAATGAATCAGATTTGGGAGATTGCAGACCAGATGTACTAGATGCTAGAGGCTGCGGATCGGATGCGGATATCCGCGGGTCCGGATCTACATTTTCGCTGAGCCGGCCCACAAACGTGTGCAACCTCAGAGTGTAGAACGGAGTAAATAGGTGATACTATAAAGCGCGTCATCAAATTTCTTGCGGGAGCAAATTACTGCCTTAGGGAGAAGATTGTTCCTTATGCTAATAAAGACCCGATTTTCGTCAAGGATCGCTTTAGCGTATTCCATCTTGCCAAAAATGCTGTCCCTAGACAAAATAAAAAATGCAGGGGCATCGGTCATTCTAGGAAAGTGTGTTCTTGTTTGGCAGCAAAAGAACAGAAAACAATCTTTGGCAAAGAAAACCACAAACGTACAAGCGACAAGAAAGTGGAATCCTTGATGAAAATAATCCCTGGAGAAGGGGAACGAGGGGGACAAAGGACAAACATATGTTTGTACTTTGTCCCTCTTGTTCCCCTTCTCCAGGGATTATTTTCATCAATCTTGTCCAGCTCGCTTGCACCTTTGCATTTAATTGCATTATAATTGGAATCCTTCTTGACAACTAAAATATGGTGGCCGTGCGAGTTTTTTTTTTTCTGTTTTACTCGACAGTTGGCTAGTTGCTGATGAGAATGTGGTTAAAAGCACACAGTTTGGAGCCATGTTTAAAACTGAAACTGATAGAAGGTTTTGCCACTATTGAATATAGTGATATTGTCCGAGTGATGTATCGTATTTTCCGAACTATAGTCTGCGCCCAGTGCATAGTCCGCAGGGGAAAATTATGGGTCAAAAATGAAAGATTTTGCTCAGATAGTTTGCGCCCAGCGCATAGTCTGCACAGTGTGCATAGTTCGCACTTAGTGCCTAGTCCGCACTTACCGCTCATTCACACTGAAAGCGGACCCGCATTCGCAAAGCGGTTGCGAACGCGGATCCGCTTCCAGTGTGAATGAGCGGTTATTGCCTAGTCCAAACGTAAAAACTTAAAAACTATCATACACAGCACACCTTCACAAATGCCTGCTGTATTAGTGCACAAAGAACCTTATATCATACATAAATCAATATTATTATACTCCGTCATTTATAAAACCCTCCCCATCTTGTCAGTGAGTGATCTCGAAAAAACAAAACAAATCCTTGTATAGTCCACATCAGGTAACATTTCAGCGTTCGATAATCTATACACCTTTCCAAAAACCACTCCTAGGCCGCCGCCATGTTGCTGATGCTGATGTGGCTGGGGCGACTCTCGCGCCCTCTATCAGCTAGAAATTTTCCGCCACCCCTGAGACTGTGAAGACCCGCTCAGCGCAGTTCTCTACCTACGTTTTTGCGGTTTCGCATTCAACGTTTTCTCACGCCTCTTGAAAGTTTCCACTTAATTTTTTTATGCGTGCTGCGTACCCTTTTTGTGTTATCTTCCATTGTGAGAAATAAGGCTGGTAAGTGCCTGCTATTCAAGCTCTTCTAGTCGTAGTGATGTGATTGGCCCAAGCCGTTTTGGAGCAGCCAAAACAGTGTTTTAAGCAGCAAAAGTGGCCTTTGGAGCAGCCAAAACAGTGTTTTGGAGCAGCAAAAGTGGCTTTTGGAGCAGCTAAAACAGTGCTTCGGAGCAGCAAAAGTGGCTTTTGAAGCAGATACTCTTAGAAAAAAAAAAATAAGTATTTCAAGTGCTGGACAAACCAAGGACACTTTGCTTGCCGCAATAAACAAATTATAGTCAAGTTAGACCACCTGGGAGTCTTTCAACACGTAACTGAAATGCCAATTACATGACACATTTTGCAATGCTTCAGTTGAATGATACATATATATGTACCCGCTATAGGTAAACAAAAACCAAAGTGCACATATTAAAATTTATTTGAAAATGATCACCTCAGTATAAATAGCACAGCAGTAGGTTGACGAGCGATAAAATGAATGAAATCAATCTCCAAATGATGAAACATGTGACGTAACTACTGCAGTGCAGTGCTAAATTGTCGCACGAGCGGAGATGGCTGTTCGATCGAAACCATGCCACTCCGCTCCGTCGCCAACTGGTTCCCAAAATTGTATGCCAAATGTAACTGTCCAGCATACGACAAAAAAGTCCAGCGGCACGTGCTTGCCAGGTCGGCAGGCGAGGTACAAGCTAAACACACAGAAAAAAAAGGAAGAAAAAAGAAAAGAACCTAAGCATATCGATGCAAGGCATCACGAAGGGTAAAAATGTTCTTGGACCGCTTTGTGCAACCACTGAACTCGAGACAAACAAGAGCACTGTGCGGGTTCAGCGTGCAGACATTGCCTTTTCTTTGGCTCACTTCTCTTCACCAAATTTCTTTCGCGGCAGATTTTTCACGTACCGGGATCTCTCCCGAAAAAAAGCTCAACGAGAAAAACCTCGGTAATCAATACTTAGACGCAGACGTCGTTGAGCTAAAGAGGGATTTTGTAGTAGCGTATTAAACAAGAACAGGAATCTTGATGAACATGCGGCGATATTTAGTTTAATTTTAGAAAGTGCCGCATCTGCTGCGACGTGGGGACGGCAACACCCAACGTCGGGCGACCACGGCGACTGGCAGGCAGGAACCAAATATAGTTTTCCCGTGGCCATTGCTTTCAGGAGAGAGTGCTTCAGCTCACAAGGAACTCAGCCGCGCAAAAACGTGGTTTCGTTTCATAGCATGACGACATGGCTGGTACCCCAGCACGTTAGTGTCGGAGCGCCGCACACGTCCGCGTCTATCGTTAAAAAAATAATAAAAACAAAATTTAAAAACGCGAGACGTTGAGGACGCGGAACGAGACATGACGTGAAAACCATGCAAAACCGGATGAACGATTGATGCAGGGTACTTTGTGTCAGACGGCCGCTCGCGCCACCTAGCTCATCGCGTGCTCAATTACGGTTCTCAGTTTAGTTTCGGTTTAGAAAGGCGACCAAAATTGGTTCTTTGGCGCTGGCTTGGCGCAGATTACCTATATCTTGGCAAAATGTAACAGGATGTAGCAGGGTTAGCCCCTTGGCACAGTTTGGCGCAGCAATCACATCACTATAGTCGACATTCTTGGGAAACGAAGGAGGTGAAGGCCGTCGAACGACCTTTGACCCGATTTTGCGAACATTGTTCTCCCCCCTCCCAGAGATAATCCGCGTAGAATCCTCAGTCATCTCCAGAAATAGTTGTCCGGGTTGGGGTAAGAAACGGGTCAGTTGCGTTCGTTCCTTTGCCTTGGTGCGGTAGTGAAAAAAGGAAGCTCTCCCCAAAACGTGCCCCAACACGAAGTCATCTCGGATTACGTCCGATCGTCAAGATGTGACTGTTGTCGACTGTGACTGTGTTATTCGAGATATTTCTGAAATAAATTATTTTCGGATAACACTGCATCGTGTTGTACATACAATATATTGTTCGAATGTTCCTGTCCATCGGTTAACACATTATTTGTGAGCGTGAAAAATGCATGCCTTTCGGCTTTCTTCTGTTGCAATTTATTTTTGACAAAAAGCACTTTGTCGTTTCACATGCGGCGAATCCCGCGGCGCCGTCAGAACTTATCGTAAGAAAAAGACACAAATAACCAGAACTATACATTCCAGCCGCATTTGTTCTGTCGCACGCGTGACCAACAATTATTCTGTTTTTTTTTTTTTTTGCTTTTTTGTTTCTTTAAATGTGGCACAATGTTTTCTCAATGTCCTCGGGAAAATACATCTACCATGAAACACAAAATATAGCGGGAAAAGACTAGAATTTAGCCGCCAGTAGCGTTTGAAGCTGTGTCTATTGAAATCACAGTCCACACTGTTAGGGTTAGGAGGGACGCCGGAGAGAGTCTAGCCTCAAACTCAGTGACTGGGCTCGAAAACAGTTTGCTGGCCCTGGGGTTGAGTGTTTTTTGGAAAGATGTATAGTCTGCGAACTATAGACGTTTTCAAGCAGCTGTGCAAGGGCGCCGCCATAACCGACCTTCAGTTTTTGTTCCCTCTTATTCCGTTCGCTCCTCTTCATCATTACCACAGCAGGACAGGTTATTACCATTTTAAGTGTTACTGTGTCCTTCTCCCCGGCCTAGGTCCTTGTGGAGGCTCGTCGACGCCTGCTTCAGTAGCTCGGCATCTTGGTAAGACAAGAGAAGGTCGGCTATGGCGGCTCAATCTGGCGCGCGCTGAAAGCGTATATAGTCGGGAAAATACAGTACTTGCGTCTTGCCATTTAGTTAAGTACTTCGCTGCATGGGTATTTGCTTTTCCTCTGCCATTTTTTATTGTTTCACCTTAATAAAAAGGCAATGTTATTAGTGCCTTTATTAATTTAAACGATTAGAAAATGTGTGTCTGCTTGGAGGGGGGTAAAAAAAGATGAAAATGCTTTTCATCTAAGCACATCTTCTGGGAGAATGCCAAACTCCCAGGGTGATCTCATAATTGCAATCATCTCTTGTGTGATGCAAAGTGTCACTGGAAGGATGATCGTTTATAATAATATTCTGAATCAAATTGTTCTTGTACAAAGATTAGCAGTGTATGAGATACCATCCATACACCTTTTTTTAAATTCATGCTTGATTTAATGAACTTAACATGAATGAGCGAATTGCAGGCCGGATGCTGTTCCAAGTTTACAAAAGCGGTTTGAGGTGGATACGAAGCCTGCGGACACAGATAGGATGCGGATGATCAAAATGTTATCTACGCAGGGCT